AGAGAGAGAGAGAGAGAGAGAGAGAGAGAGAGAGAGAGAGAGAGAGAGGGTTGCAAAGGCATATTACTATAATATTTATTATTCTTGCTGCTATTTCAATGAAGCCCTAGAAGTGACACAACAAAGTGCAGAATATCGTTCATTCCTTGAATTTACTACACCTGTCATTTTCTCCTGACATTGACTTAATTAATTCCATGCTCTACCATCAGAGAAAACAGGGTCAAGTACAGCACAGACAGAATCTCTACATTGTAAAAAAACCCGACTGCTTTTACTGTACCAAAACATTACGACACGACATCAGATATGACATAATCACACCGAAATGTACTACTATGTAAGGAGAGAAGCCCCCAAAATGAGACTTGCACTTTGCCTTCCCGTCGTTTTCCCGAAATCCTTTTAACTGAACAGATAAGGGACTTTTTCCCAACAAGTCACCCGCGCTTTTTCCACAATTTCCTTCGCCTGCACCCGCCAGTAATCCTCAAGTCTTTGTTGTGTTTCCTCGTTCTAGTTCTCCATTAGATCCGCTCCCTTGACGTCGATATTCTTTTCCTTTCCCCCATTAGATGTGCTATCATTGGATCTTTTCCTGGTCAGCCTCGGGCACAGTTCGTTCAAGGCATCTTGATTTTATGTCCAGATTGTCGGTGCCTCATCAGCTTATTACTTGCAACGACGGCATTGCCTTTGATTCCCCACACTCACTCTCCCTAACTTCCTATTCTCCCTTTCTGCCCCATCATATCCATCATATCCCTTCGTTTTCTTTCTCTCTCATCCTTCCACTTCTTTCTCTTCACAGTCCACCTTCAATCTTCCTCTTTATTCTTCCCATTTTCTCCCCCATCCCATCCATCATCTCCTCTCCCCTTTCCTCTTTCTCTTTATTCTCACAAAACAGCTTTATGCGCTTCACAATTCCTTTATCTTAAACACAAAATACATATGCATGAGTGTGCATGCTTATGCTCAGTAGATGGACGCTAAAACATATACAGACATTCATACTATCACACAACTGAACTCTATTCATATGAGTTATATCGTTCCATTCACGTTCTTCTCCCCTGTTTGTATTTTACTTTTTTTCTAAGTTCCAGATCGATTCCATGTGCACAGTTTTGCCACTTTATTTTTAATTTTTTCAACCCTTCCCCTACACATAAACATGCACACACAAACACGCACACAAACACACACATACATACACTCACAAACGCACTTACACACTCACTCACTCACTCACTCACTCACTCACTCACTCACCCACACACGCGCACACACACACACACACGCACACCCACACACGTACACTCACACACACACACACACACACACACACACACACACACACACACACACACGCACACACACACACACACATACACACACACACTAATTCCGCTTGCGTTGGTGCTTTGTTTCTTCTACACTTTGCTATTCTTCGCCCTTATTTACTCGTATCCTTTTTCTTTTGATTTGTCCGTCTTTCGGCATGAACGTACACTAACGTTGGGGAAATTGATGGTGTTTTAACCAGGTATCATTGACCGTAATTACCATTGTGTGCTGTGATCTGCTCCCACCTCAGCCTTAAAACACAAGAGGAAGATCGAGGAGATAACGGCGTATTTGCGTGTCTCCTGATCGTCGCGCTACTTTTTGCGTCTGTAAGTCGGTCAGTGTGTCTGCGATCCGGCGTTAGATTCGTGCCATTCCTTTAAGGAAAATAAATCTCTATTTAATTCTCTCCTAACTACCTTGACCGTTCTCAGCCCCATATCTAAATGGGAAAAGCCTACTTTTGATCAGCCTCACGAGCACATCCAGCTTTAAAAAAAAACGTAGCTATGGGGGTCTCTCATGGTCTAGAGGTTACGGTGTTCGCCACTCATTCATTAGTCCTGAGTTCGAAACCTGACAGCGACGGGAAATGTTCTCCTCTAAAATTGTCTCCTTTCATTTCTTTTCCTGCTCGCTTACCATGTTTTGTTGTCTGTTTTCTCCCCTTTGTCCCATCGTATGGGCTTCTAGCTCTTTCTGCAGCCCTTCTACTGTTAGATCTACTCCTTGGCTTCTTTTCATTGCTGTCTTTCATCCACACCTCAGATCTTATGGTAGAAAAGATCTAACACCTAGTCTTCTCGGATGAAGGCGAAAGATGTCGGAGGTCCCGTGTGCAAGTTGCGCACGTTAGAGATCCTTTGTTGGTCTTAAAATTGATAAGAGTAGGTCTCGGCCGCATAATTCAAAATTCCTACCAAACTGAAAATGTTTAATTTGTCCCGCGCACTTACATGTAACCTATTGTAGTCGCAAGCACCGTAAAACACTTACCAAGACAACAACGACAACAGCAAAAAAGTTACAATTCGAAGGTTCAGCTAGCGCTAAGATAATGGAAATATCTTTAATTTCAATTCGAGGGAGATGGAAAGAGAAATCATGCTTTCTAACTCATTGGTTGTGTACGCTGTGTGTGAGTGAGTTGTGGATCGTTGTACCTACGTGTACCATTACATTGAGCATGAATGTAATGAGTGCGTTTTTGTGTTATTGCTGAATCTTTGAACGTTTATGTTCAGGTAAAGATCTTGGATGAGCGTGGTAGTTCAAATAAGTTCCAAATGGAAGTTTAATGTTTATTTGCACTGTTTTTAGAAAGGCTGATTAAAACGTTCATAACCTTTATCACTTCGAGAATAAATCATCTTGCGGGTGATTAACTCACGTTACCCCCCCCCCCCCAAAAAAAAAGAGGTTGATTTGTAATACTTTTTAAACGTTAGTTTTAAAGATGCAACGTGGCCTTTAAATGGCACAGATCTCTCGCAGACTTTGCCCTTTCTCCAAGCGTATTGGCTCCACCAAAATAAACACAATACAGAAGCACGCTTGCACAAACACAGAGAAGCACTCGTGCACACGTACAGATACGTACTCAGACAGAGACACACAGTTTTTAACCTTGTGCATTGCAGATTTGTTTGCCCTAGATCCAGTATCAGATATATGTGTCCCCGTGGAGCGGTTTTGGAAATAAACTTGGCTTGAAGGCAGATGTTCGAGGTTCCCATTTGAGATTGGTTCAAATCTTAATTGTCCTTATGGGAATTATATTCATTTCTGTCTGTTATCATGTTGGAAATGGGTAGACAAGAGGGAGAGGCAATTTTTTAATTGGGGGGGGGGGAGGGGCCTGATGGAGTGATTACTTTTTAAAAGTTGATTATGAAGGACGGGAGGGGTGGCTAGGTGTCGTGAAGAGATATGGTTTGGAGGAGGGGCAGGATCAGCATTGTCTCAAAAAACGCATTGAATTGTGTTCAGGTTGATCTTTCACTGTTTAATGACCGTTCTGTTGCATCCATTACCATGTTAATTTGTAAGTTGAGATATAGAAAAAGTACTGTAAGCCCGAGTTGTACATTCTCTTGAGCTGTTTTTTTAAAACTCGTAATTTATTTTTCCTCATTTGTTATTTACAATTACTGCTGTCTACGTATGTAAGAGGAAACATAAAAGAGATGTTACTGCACATAGAAAAATTGCATGTGTCTTTCTCGTTCGGTGTAATTACTTTTCTTGGAGATTATTTCTGTACACGTTTATTGTAAGCCTGTAAAAGGTTATTTTGAAGTCGTTCCAATAGATGCAGCAGTCAAGGGAAAGGAGAAGGAAATACATAACTAAATGTAAAGCAAATAAACGAAATAAGTATCCAGATATGTGTGCAGAATCAACATATTATTCTATTATTGTAAGTCGTTCTGCAGTTTAAGGGGCACCGTGTCGTGACACTGATCAGCAGTGGACTATTTCATGGAAGATGACATATTATATATGGGCTATAGTGCTGGTCCACTGATAACTACAAATCTACAACGAAATATTTTCTTCATTTTTAAAAGTAATGCAAACAGCTCTCATATCTAAAAGATTGTTTTCGTCAGCGATTACCCATCCTTCTCTCAACATCCAGTGGAAAAGTTTCCCCTCCCCGCGATCTGTGCTATCATCATGATCCTTATCTGACTGTTTTCCAAAAAATATGCTCACGAAGGAAAGATGTACATTGTAGTCGAATGAAAGCAACCATTAGTTCGATTACATAGAAATACTACTATTATTCGATTATCATTTGCCCAAACTGATATGACGGTTAAGGAACTAGCTGAAGCAGTTCTAATGACAGGGGCCACTGGGAGGAAAATCATTTCAACGGTGGTGGTTCTCAAGGTCCAGACAAAATATGTAAACTTTTTGTTCTGCTTGTTTCTTTTACAGATCATTATTTCACAACAACAGTAAACGTAACTGCACAGTAAAAATAACTGTTCGTAGATTTCTGTAGTTCTCACTCCTTAGTTGAGTTCCAGGTGCTTTCCAACCTTAACTAAATCGATAACTCAGGCGACCTTCGAGCTAATCAAATTATTTTAATTCATCTTTATACATACATGTTACTATATGCATCGAGTCATACATATTCACATACACTCACATATACACACAAATAGTAACACACGCACACACACACACACACACACACACACACACACACACACACACACACACACACACACACACACACTCACTCACACACACACATGCACATCGACATACACTTTGTGAGCACACAATGTTTTACGGACTACACACTACTTCTCGTTACTAACATCTACAAATGAGCCATTTTAATTTGTTTTATTTGCTCATTTTCTCAAAGTATACCATTCAAGGATAAAACCTAATAACAGTTTACAATAGAGTCTGGTTCTCTTCTCAGATGGATTGGGCATGTTCTGAGAAGAGAACCAGACTCTATTGTAAAGACTGCCCTACACTGGACACCTGGCGGACATCGCAAGAGGGGCAGACCCAAAGTGACCTGGAGACGCACGTAGCGTCTGAAATGAAGTCCTGGAAACATTCATGGGGGATGTTGACCAAGATGGCCCAAAACAGACAGAGCTGGAGATCCTTTGTTGCTGCCGTAAATGCCAGATGGCGTAACGGGTAGTAAGTTAGTAAGTAAGTTTGGGGAATCCTTATCAGTTACATGATCACAGAAATGGCAAATAAAAGTGAAACCTGGTTATCAGGGAGATTTGTTCAAAAACTAAAAATGCACTAACAAGAATATCCAAGCTATCTGCTATTTATGAAATTACATATTTGTAACCAGCACACAAGTCTCAAGAAAACGATACCGGGTTTTCTTGAAATTGTAAACATTAATAATGATAATGGGTAAGGATGTATGTGATATAGGATGGAATATTGTTTCTCAGAGCTTTGGAACGCGTTAATTGTACTTTATATTCGATCCTTACTTCCACATATATCCTTTGACGCTTTATACCAACACTGTGATTTGCTCGAGTTTTGTCTTCCCTAGTACTAATTCAGCTCGTTGTTTTGAATGCCTTGCAGTTTTTGCTTTTTTTCATCTGGAATTCTATCTAAAAGTGAATTGCAATAGTATAGTCGAGAAAGAATAGACTCTGATATGAGTGTTTTGTTTTGTTTTGTTTTGTTTTTTCTTTGTTGCCTCTACTGGCCAGTATTTTCAGAATTATAAGAAAAAAATAATGTTCAGGGTGTTTAAGTGAGTTCATTAACAAACAAACCCAAAGAAAAAATTCCCTCAAATCCCCCAAAACAAACCAAACCAAAACCCAAACATAACATAAAAAGGACAGCCTCCGCCCCCCCACGAAAGAAAAGTAATCAAATCTAATTCAAACGAACAAAGAAACGAGGTCATTTTTCTTGACCAAGCTACCCCAACTATAACTTTGTGTCTTTTGCAGACAGTTTCTTCAAACCCCTATTTGTTTTTTGTTTGGTTTTTGTTTTTGTTTTCGTATTTTTTTTTTGTAAGTGCTTTACGGCGCTCTCAACTGCATAAGGTCATATGAGCCCGATTCTCTTTTTGTTATGATTTTTTAAAATGATAAAAATGTAAGGGGTGGCTCTTGTCAGTGCACACTATATCAGGCTGACCTTTGGTTTGCTTCATAAGATTCGAGTTGGAAGTCCATTGGGTCCTGTGCGTTATGCACGAAAATCAAAGATCTGATTGTGGGTGGTTGGTGGGTGCTCTGGTGTGGTTTGCTTCTTCTTTCCTATCAAACACTTATCATCCTTATCTCTCTTCCTTTTTTATGTTTGTTACACTCTTGTAACACCTCTAGTTTTCTGGCGCTCATATGACCTTATGCAGTTGCGAGCGCCGTAAAACCTCTACTAAAACTAAAAGATCTGATTCACAATGTGTCGAAGCGTTCAGATTGATTATTTTCACCAAACGTATCAACGTATCAAATGAAGACCAAACGTATCAAACGTTTCATTTTAGAGTATATGATCAAATTGTGCTAAATCGTTATCCTTTGCTCTTAATGAAAACTTTGCCGCCTTTAAAAGTATAATAAGATGTATCAGACAAATATTTGTCGAAACTATTTTTTCTGTGCGCATTAGGTATAATCCAGACGTTATCTGTTGATGCAAGCCATGCACTGGAATGGTACATTACTACTACTACTAGTACTACTGTAACGCAGCATTGTTTGAATATTGCAAGGTGATCTCTCCTTCTTCCAAATGATGTCCACAATATTGCCAGTGGCGGTGACATCAATAAAGGTGCACATGGATTATTATTAACAACCCACTTTTTAGAAGGTAAAACGTTTTGCAATTAATTTTTTTTCCAGATCCATCCCAAAAATTATTCATTACACGAAAGCTCGTTGTTTACAAAGAATATGGTCATCTGATATCAACGGATATTTCTATTGCTGTCACCACAAGCGTTTATACAATCGTTTTGTGTCGTTTCTCAAAACAGAAGTTCTTTTTTTCAGAATCTTCTTTGCTCCTACCCAAGACCGGCTCCTTCTCTGCATAAAAGATACAGCACTTCCTAAAACAGAATCAAACGCACTGCAACATAGATCACAACCACCAGCCATACTGCAGATGTCTTAACTGAATTCCAAGCAAATAAAGTGTGTCATGCCAGTATACACGATCTTTTCTATGATAAAGTGTGCCATGTTCGTGTACGTTCTTTTCTAACACTTCAACTAACACTTCAAGTAATCGGTTGTTGCGATTACATAAAACACATAATAAAGCAATGATAGTAAATAACAAGATGGGCCACTCAGCCAAAAAAGTGTCCGCAGGAAGTATGCTCTTTGCTTCAGATGGCGCTGCAGTCTGTTTTGAAGCTCTCTTTCGTTTTTCCAGAAGAAGAATAGGAATAGCACCTCCTTGCGTGCGCAGATCGACTGCTGTTCATCAGCAGTTCGGGTATGTTCAGTGCGGAGTTTTAGTTTTTTAAAATTTTAATGACCTCTCGCCCTTCATTCTAGAGTCAAATTAAACGAAGAAAACCATCACCCTTTCTTCCGGAAGAGGTTTTTTGTCAGCGTAATCATTTTTAAAAAGCGTTCTTCCGAAATTTATCCCAAAACTTGCTAGTTTCACTTTGATTTTTTAAAACTCAAGTAGGGTAACTCTGTTCGCAAAGAGTGCGCTTTTGTGAAGAGGGCGCCACCAAATTTTGAGGACACTTTTTTAATTGACTCAAAGAGAGAAGTGGCCCATCTTGTCTTGTACTATCTTTGCTAACACTTCAAGTAATCGGTTGTTGCGATTACATAAAACACATAATAAAGTTAGTATCGCCTCCAATTGGAACTCAGAGTCACGTGAATGGTTTGGTTTTCAACTCTGTCAAACAAGTGCTCAAAGAGAGCGCAGATAAGTAGGGTCCTTACAAGATTAATGAGCCGGATAGCTCATTTCGTCGTGTTATAAAACACGACAGAGTAAAAGTGAGACGCGCTTTATCTCGTATTGTGTCTTTTCCATCTTGAAAACAATGCTACGCATGTTTTTCTTTGTTTGCTTTTCGTACTGCATAACTCCCAAGATTCCAGTCTGGTAACTGGCAAGCAAAGAGCGATCCTTCAGAGAATGAGATTATTTCTGTATATTCCAGTGTTTATTGCCACGAGAGCGTTCATGCTGTTGATGAATATTCCTGTTCGGTTGGCTCGGTAGACAATATTGTCAAGCAGTGGTGTTACCAGATATCACAACCTCGATCAGGTGGGGTTATTTCTTTTTTTTTGGGGGGGGTTGAGGGTCGATTTATAAACAGTCGCGTGTCCCGCCATAGATTTGTATTATGATATCCAAGACTGCGCACTCTGGCGTAATTCCTGTTCACCACGGGGTGCACCATTTGATCTATTTGGAATCCAATGAAGGAAAAGAGGAAAAGGTTGTGCGAGCACTCGACCATAGCGAGAGAAGGTTTTACGGAGCATGGTTGTTTCAGCGTGTAAAAGATTGTATTTACTAATGTTCTGTTTTGTTGTGTGTATGCGTGAATGCACCTAACTTTTGTAACACCCACTGCCATTTTAAACTACTAAGACAAATTTTTCCCTGGGAGATGAATAAAGGCTGTCAATGTCATTGACATTGTCATTGTCAGTAATGTCACTGTCATAACGAGACTAGTTTTTTTGCACATCACAGAGAGAGACAGAGAGGGGCGAGAAAGAGAGAAGAGAGAGAGAGAGAAAGAGAGAGAGAGAGAGAGAGAGAGAGAGAGAGAGAGAG